TCCCATCCCGTCCCCCCGCTCCTCACCTCAGCGGCGGGTTCTTGTTCATGAACATCTCGATGGCCGCCTCGTCCTCGGGGTCCACCACCACCTCCCCGCAGTACTCCCCTCTCCCGGCTGCCATCGCCGCCGCCTTCTCAAGGGAGGGCCACTCTTCATCCTCATCCTCCTCCTCCCCCTCCGAGCCGGAGCCGCCACCCACGGGGCCTGCGGGGGAACGGCACTGGCTGAGCCCGGGGCCCGGCACCCCGCGACCCCCGGGGGGGGGCGGGCGGGGAGAACTGGGGGGCTCACCCAGCGCCGTGCTGCGCTTCTTGGAGGGGACGGCGGGCGCTCCGGGGCCGTGCTCGGCCTCCAGCTCCTCCTGCTGCCGCCGGGCCTGCTGCAGGATGCGCCGGGACAACCGGGCGTCCACGTAACCGTCGTCATCCTCCTTCTCCTCCTCGCCGCCGCCGCGCCGCTTCCCCCGCGCCGTGGGCCGCGGGGCCGCCTCCTGAAGGATCTGCTCGGCCAAGGGTAAGGCAGAGCCGGGGCCGGGGCCCCGCGGCCGCCGGGCCTTGGGCATGGCCGACAGGAGCCGCCGCCGCCACCGGCCCCGCGTGCGCCTACGCCCCACCCCTTCCGCCGCCGCGTCGGCCCCGCCCCTTCCGGCGTCTCGTTAAACCCGCCCCTTCCGGTGCAGCGATGGGGGTGACCTGGTAATGGCGGTGGGAGAGGGAGGGGGGAGCGGCCCGGGATGGGGCCCGGCTCGGCGGGTCGCTGAGTCCCTCCTGGGTTGTTCAGCGTGTCGCAGGTGCCGGTGGCGGAGGGGAAGAGCGTGCAGCAGACGGTGGAGATCCTGACGCGGAAGCTGGAGGTGCTGGGGGCGGAGAAGCAGGGGACGTTCTGCGTGGACTGCGAGACCTACCACACCGCCGCCTCCACCATCGGCAGCCAAGGTCTGGCACCGGGGGGTACCGGGACCGGCTGAGAGAGCTGGGGGGTTCAGCCTGGAGAAGAGAAGGCTTCGGGAGACCTTAGAGCCCCTTCCAGTCCCTCAAGGGGCTCCAGGGGAGATGGGGAGGGACTCTGGATCAGGGAGGGGAGCCCTAGGAGGAGGGGGAAGGGTTTTAAACTGAAAAAGGAGAGAATTAGGTTAGATCTGGGGAAGAACTTGTTTGGTGTGAGGGTGGTGAGAGCCTGGCCCAGGTTTCCCAGAGAAGCTGTGGCTGCCCCATCCCTGGAGGGGTTCAAGGGCAGGTTGGAGGGGGCTTGGAGCAACCTGGTCTGGTGGGAGATGTCCCTGCCCGGGTGTCCCCTTGATGATCTTTAAGGTCCCTTCCAACTCTAACCATTCTATGATTATCCTCGGGCTGCCAAAGTCTTTTTTTCCCCTCTAACTTAAGAAGAAAATACAATTTATTGGGCTGCCAAAGTCTTTTTTTCACCTCTAACTTAAGAAGAAAATACAATTTATTCACTGAATGGATGGCTGATGAAAGTGCGTATGAGCGGTACAAGGACCCTGGGGTTAAAGGGAGAAGGAGGACAGAGGGAAAAGCAGAAGCTTCTTTAAAGCAGTCCCAAGCAGAGGACGGTGGGTTTTACAGCCCTCGTGCCCTGGCTGTTGTTTCAGGGCAGACAGGGAAGCTGATGTACGTGATGCACAACTCCGAGTATCCCCTCAGCTGCTTCGCCCTCTTCGAGAACGGTCCCTGCCTCGTAGCAGATGCCAACTTTGATACCCTCATGGTGAAGCTGAAAGGCTTCTTCCAAAACGCCAAGGCCAACAAGATAGAGAGCCGGGGCACCCGCTACCAGTACTGTGACTTCTTGGTGAAGGTGGGCACGGTGACAATGGGGCCCAGTGCCCGTGGGATCTCTGTGGAGGTAAGAATCATCTTTGAAGGGTATGAAATACGACTACAGACAGGGAAATCCTGTGTTGGGAGGCTGGAGGAGAAATCCCCCTCCCCACTGTGTCCAGTTTTGGGTGTCCCTCACCACAAGAAAGACATTGAGGGGCTGGAGCGGGTCCAGAGAAGGGCAAAGAAGCTGGTGAGGGGTCTGGAGAATAAGCTTTATGAGGAGAGGCTGAGGGAGCTGGGGGTGTTCAGCCTGGAGAAAAGGAGGCTGAGAGGAGACCTTCTCGCTCTCTCCAACTCCCTGAAAGGAGGGTGTAGCCAGGGGGGGTCGGTCTCTGCTCCCAAGGAACAGGCAACAGGACAAGAGGAAACGGCCTCAAGTTGCTCCAGGGGAGGCTCAGATTGGAGATTAGGAACAATTTTTACACGGAAGGGGTTCTTAAGCCTTGGAATGGGCTGCCCAGGGAAGGGGTTGAGGCACCATCCCTGGAGGGATTTCAGAGACGGGTTGACATAGTGCTGAGTGACGTGCTTTAGTGATGGGTTTTTATCAGTTAGGCTGCTGGTTGGAGTGGATGATCTTAAAGGTCTCTTCCAACCTGGACAATTCAATGATTCTGTCTCTCGATTGTTGGTAGTTTGTATAGATGCGTTCCTGCATGTGGCAGGCAGGGTATTCATCCTTTTCACAGCAAGGTTTTATTCAGGCAGGGATTTTGGGGCTCAGCTGCAGCTACGGAAAAGCCTGTGGTTGAATTGTCGATAAAGAAAACCCCGAAGGGATGCCATCAAACTGCAAAGCTGCTTAAAGTCCTGGTGCACAGCACTAGTGGCACATCTCGGGTTAATCAGTGTATCGAGGGGGACAAAGCAACCTCTTCAGCTGCTAATTCGATGCTGATTCGGGTTTTGCTTTCTCTCTCCATCCCAAGCAGACACAGCCCGGGAGAGCAGGGCTCTCTTGCTGCAGGTTCTGCTCACAGGGTGTAAAGATGGTTTTCTCCTCAGCAGAGAGCTTTTGGCAGGCGTCAGTCCTCCCCCTGTGGCGTGCCCACCTGGATTGCTGCACCCTGGGGGTGCACGGCGGGCTTGAATCCTGCCATCAGACCGCTTCCGTGCTCCCTGCTTGATGCCACTGCTGCTGATGAGGCTGGAGAGCATCGGCTGCCAAGTGCCAAGGGCCTTTGAGGGGGTGGAGGCCAGGCTGGAGCAAACTCTAAAGGGAAATCCATCAGTGCTTTTATAGGGTGCATTTTACCTCCCCTTCCCTTTTGAAGGGATTGCTTGCATGTTCCCAGCATGTCCTAGTCATTTGTATTTGTCCATCCTTGTATATGCTAAATATTTTAGATATTCCTGGATAAGACCAGGTTGGATGGGGCTTTGAGCAACCTGGTCTGGTGGGAGGTGTCCCTGCCCAGGGCAGGGGAGGTGGAACTCGATGGTCCTTAAAATCCCTTCCAACTCTAACCATTCTATGATTCTGGGATGTTTTAATGACAATATTCTCTCTCTAGTGAGGCAGAGAACGAAAGTGCGTTGCCTCCTGTGTGATTATTGCCCCCACCGTGAGCTTCAGGGCTGTGGTTTGTGTTGCCAGGTGGAGTACTGCCCCTGCGTGATCGCCAACGACTGCTGGAACCTGCTCATGGAGTTCATGCAGAGCTTCATGGGCAACCACACTCCCGGCATCCCGTCGGTGTTTGGCACCAAGCACGACAGCGTCTACAGCCCAGCAGACACCATGGGTCAGTACATGGAGCTCTTCAACAAGATCCGCAAACAGCAGCAGGTGCCGGTAGCGGGGATCAGATGAAAGGACTCCCCGGAGCTCAGTTTAGAGCGAATACATCCTCTTCTCTGCCTGCCCATCTGGATCGGGAGTCCCTCCAAAAAGCAGCACTGGAGGCAGCCCAAAGCGGTTTGGTTTTTGTTTCTTTTTTTTTCCCTATCAGTCTCTTTCCCCTGTTCCAAAGCAAAGGTCAGGAATGCTCTGAGTATTTCTTGTTGTCCTACCTCCTGGATTTGAGCGTGTCTGGGGTCGGGCTGGTGGTTCTGATGGTTCTGTGTGCACTGCTTCGTGCGGGGGATTACTGGTCATCGGCAGAAGGCCAGGAAAGGAGAAATTCCAGCCAAAATGCATGCAAGGGCAGAGTTTCCTTGACTGCAAACAGCTACGTGAAAAGGTTTTGGTTTTTTTAATATTTTTTTTAGATATCCATGCGAAAGTGTTTTGTTATTTTTCATCAAAATAAAAAGCTATATTTTTTAAATATTTTTTTTAGATATCCATGTGAAAGTGTCTTGTTATTTTTCATCAAAATAAAAAGCTATATTTTGTGAGGAGACGGAGTCTTTCTGCACAGCAAGTGTTGTGCTGTTTATTGTTTATAACTAAATTGTAAATAAACAATTTATAAAAACAAATTGTTTATTTACAGCTTTTGAAATTTTCTGTTGCACGGAGACAATTCTTCAGCAGAGTTTTATTTTTGATTTGGTTCAAGAGCTTTATACCCCTGCAGCAAACTAATTTCCCTGCGGCAAAATCTACAGGAGTTCTTGCCTTCCTATTATGGGTATGTTCTGAGCTTGCCTTCATCTTTTAGATCTGATGGGAGTATTAAAATCTCCAACCTCTCAGATGATACCGATGAAGCCTCGTGATAAATAAATAAATAAGCCTGGCAGGAGCCCTCTCATGCATTGAAAGAGAACACCAACCGCTTTATCTCTGTTTTTGAGAGGCTGGTAATAAATGGCCTCTCTCTGCACACCATTTCTCATTTGAGAAATCCTGGTGACTTCAGCAGATTTAATGGAGTAAGGAAGGATTTGGGGAATAAGAGCCAAAAATATAAGATTTAACTATACGATATCACTCAAATAGTTGGGGTTTTTTTTAGTGATGATTTATTTTTACAGAAGGAAACCCAGGGAAATTAGATCTCTTTTGAGCTGTCTGTCCCCTTGGTTTTCCATGTTCAGTATCTGCCTTGTAGCTGGCATTTTTTCCTCTCTTCCCTGCTCCACCCCCTGCTCTAGGCTTTAGAACACGCAGAAACACCCTCTTTCAGGCACCAACCTTTGCACGGGGCTTCCGTTGTGTGTGTGGCAGGGTTCCAGCTCTGCAGCCTGTCCTGGACAGAAGGGGTGGGTGTAGAGAAGGTCGAAGGATGGTTTTAGGAAGGGAGATTTCCAAGAAGGATGGTGGGTTCCTCGTGAAGCAGCAGCGTCCCTCTTCCTCGCAGAAAATATCCTTCATTCCTTGCCTCAGATGAAGAGTCTGAAGAGCAAGTAAAACACAAATAGATTTCTCCTAAATATTTTTTTTCCTATTGAAGTTTCATTACTTGATTTGCTGACCGGTGGGAGAACTAGTTATTTAGATAGGACTCCTTTGTGATTATCATTTATACCTGTAAACCTAATTAACTGTTAGAGTGCCTAGAGCTTTTAGTGTGGGCATTTAATAAATTTAATCAGCGCTGGGTCCAGAAAGATCTGGTTAATGAGCCATAATAAATGGCATAATGTACCAGAAGTGTGTTAGAAATTCCAACATGCTGAATGTACTGAATTTTTGCAACTCTTAGCTCAAGTTCATGACACATGCGCTGACTTCATCACTGAAAATTAACAGTCCCACTGAAAATTCAGTGAGAATCTGACCCGCTGTCGTTCCACATAGTTAAGCGTGGCTGGGAAAACTTAGGAAAACAAACTGTAGTCTTTGTAGGGATAGTTATTTCTGTCCTGTTTCCCATTTTAATTAAGCCTTTTAAGGTTAAAAAAAAATTACCTTTTAATGACCAGATTAGTCATGCTGAATGTTGCTAATGCTTTATTAATTCCCGAAAGATGCTTTCTGTAACCAGAGATGTCAAAACTCTGGTCACATGTCTTAAAAACATAAAATGTGGGGTGGAATCTCTGGGGACTCCTGTGCTCTTATTAATACACTGTACTGTTCCTGGAGTAATAAAACGGGACCCCTTGAGCTACATTCTGCCTTCAATTACACCGTTACAGCCATTGACGTCAGTAGGTTTCCACGGGTGTATAGATGGGGAGGATTTAGCCCTTTATGTCTTAGCAAAAACATCTCTGGCTGTAACTGCGTTCTGTGAAGGAGGGAATTGGCTGCCCCGTGTGAGGGGCTGCTTTTACGCTGAGGCTTTTTACTTTCTTGATGAACAAAATGACTGGTCTTCAATCTTAGCAGCTGCAGTAATCCTCATTCTGCCCTCCCAGCACCAATACAGTGGGTTAACGTGGCTTCAAACGTGTTACTCTGCATCTTAACAAGTCTTCAGGGGGCTTTCAATTGTGCGACGTTAATGCATTGAGGCAGTGTAATTGAAAACCACCCTAATTTTGCCCGTCAAGCCGTGGTCTGGAAGGTTGTTTTCCTGTTGCTTCCCAGTGTTTTCTCAGAGAATGCAAGATGTAGAGGGAGAGGTGGCCAGGCTGTTGTCCTGTACCACTGTGGATCCTTTTATCTGCTTCTGCACCTCTCAAAAACCGCTGGAGGTGGTGTTGCTTTCTGCGAGTTAAAGGCTGACCTAGAGGAGACTGAGGGGGTCCTGGGGATGTGGGTTTCACCTTGGATCATTATAGCTTTTCCCCTCTTTGCTCTAAGCAGAGGCTGGGTGATGTTACCAGGGTCACCTCTGCTTTGGTGGCAGAGAGAGGGTCCAATTCTCGCTGCTGCTCTGGGGATACTGTGGGCTTTTGTTCTGTTTTGTGCTGTGGCTTTTTTTTATGAGGAAGTACTAACATTGCAGCTGCACCCTGCTAAGCTTTACAAAGAGAGTGAGGACGTAAGGGCCTCGTTAATCTTCAGTTTCAATTCTTAGCAGACATTACAGGCTGAGGGCTCAGAGCTGAGGGGAAAGAGTCGAGAGGTGTGTGACTGGATTTCTGTGCAGGTATGGGTTCAAAACAGACCAGGCACTGCTCAAAAAGGAAAGGTGTAGAGAAAGGAGAGGGCAAAGCTGACAGGAAGTGGAATTTGTGGGAAGGCTGGCTGGTGAAGGAGCTCGTGAGGACACCACAAGGCTGTGGAGCGGCCCTGTGCCATGGCAGAAGAAAGCAGGCTCCCACCTGTCGCAGTGAATTCCAGTGCTTTGCCTCAAAACTTTGACAAAACACATTTCCATCCCCTCATGGCCCCTGCACTGTGGTGACGAGTGTGTGACCTAGGGGCCTTCGAGGGACCTCTGGCGAGGGCCAGCACGGCTTGGGGGGCCCTTGTCTGTCTGCCAAGCTGCACCCGCTAAGCTTTACAAAGAGAGTGAGGACGTAAGGGCCTCGTTAATCTTCAGTTTCAATTCTTAGCAGACATTACAGGCTGAGGGCTCAGAGCTGAGGGGAAAGAGTCGAGAGGTGTGTGACTGGATTTCTGTGCAGGTATGGGTTCAAAACAGACCAGGCACTGCTCAAAAAGGAAAGGTGTAGAGAAAGGAGAGGGCAAAGCTGACAGGAAGTGGAATTTGTGGGAAGGCTGGCTGGTGAAGGAGCTCGTGAGGACACCACAAGGCTGTGGAGCGGCCCTGTGCCATGGCAGAAGAAAGCAGGCTCCCACCTGTCGCAGTGAATTCCAGTGCTTTGCCTCAAAACTTTGACAAAACACATTTCCATCCCCTCATGGCCCCTGCACTGTGGTGACGAGTGTGTGACCTAGGGGCCTTCGAGGGACCTCTGGCGAGGGCCAGCACGGCTTGGGGGGCCCTTGTCTGTCTGCCATCAGTGTTGTCTGGCCCCTGGGGTGCCCTCAAGATCTCTGTCACCTCAGGGGCCCTGTGGGGTGCCCACCTCTGTCACCTCAGGGTGAACCCATCACCTCAGAGGTCCCCCCTAACATCTTAGAGGCCCTGTGGGGTGCCCTCCCATGTCACCTCAGGGGTCCCGTGGGGTTCCCCCCATCACCTCAGGGGCCCCATCACCTCAGGGTCCGCCCCCCCCATCACCTCAGGGGTCCCGTGGGCTACCTCCCACCCCACACAGCCACTTCAGGGCCCCCGCGGGACCGCGCCACCTCCCGCGCTGCCCCTTTAAGAGTCTCTTTGTCTCCGAAACATCCTTATTTACCCTCTTGTGACTCAACCGAACTTCAGCCTGGGATTCACAAAGCCCGGTACGTCACCGTGCGGGGCCGGGCCCGGCCAGTCCCCGCCCCTCGGCGCTGCCCTCCCGCTGCGCGACCGTAAACCATTGAAGAGCTCTCCCTGGGGGCTACGCAGACTTCGTAAGCTGCGCCAGAACTCTCTCTGCCGCGGCGTAGACTGCGCAAACGACGTTCATCAGTTGCGCCGGCCGCGCCGTTAGCGCCCGGGCTTCGCTCTACGGAATTGGCGTAAGCAGCGGCTCTGAATGGGGAGCGGGGCGGGGGGGGGTGTGTGTGTGTGTGGAGGAAGGCGCGAGCGCTGTGTGGCGTGCTCTCCAGCCAACGGCGGGG